TGTGTGTGTGTGTGTGTAAAGTGGAGTGCAAGCAATGATTGTCAAGTCAAGTCACATTTATAAAATGCTTTATTCAGCACAGATAGTTTCAAAGCAACTTCATAGTAATAAACAGGAAAATAACAGTGTCAATTTTGTAAAGTGCATCAATTATTAAACAAATTCAGTTTGGCTATAATGAAGCTCTAAAAATGTAGTGATAATGATAGTGCCATTATTCAGCTCAAGTCAGAATATTGTTGATTCAATTCAGTTCACTGACTTTCAGTCAAATACATTTCTGAATTAATATGAATAATCAAATATTATTTCTGAATAATAATTGTCTTTCAAACCCCAACTGAGAAATCCAAAGGTGACAATGGCAACCAGAACTCCATCAGGTGACAGAAGAAAAAGCTTGGGAGAAAACAAGCTCAGACAGGGGGCCGGTTTTCTTTTGGCCTTAAATGAACAAACACGTTGTGATTTATGATTCCACGCTGCCTCACAGGTCAGACTTTGTGGACCAATATTACTCCGAAGTTTGCATTTAGCTCTTTCCATATGAGGTTTGGGATACCCCACAATGGAATTAGGTGAGAAAATGGCTGAGCTGTAGTCTGTAGTCTTTATAGGTAATCAGCAACTATACTATGCTAAATAGGCAGCCAGTGCAGTGTTGACAGAACCAGTCTAATATGGTCATATTTTTGGACTGGTAAGCACTCCAGCTGCTGCATTTCAGACCAGGTGAAGTTTGTTTAATAAACCAGCTCTCTTGATGGTGTCATGCATCGGACTGTTCTACTAAATCTTATTTAAGTGCAAATGACCAACAGCATCTAGAGTGCTAGAAAAGAGATCCATGGGTTCTGTTGCAACATCAAATTATACTAAACTAATCTCATCTGGTATGCTGAGGAGTTAAGACAATTGATGTTGATAAAGCAATCTTTAGTGGAAGAAGTGGTAGTTCTACCATATTTATAACAGGGACTTCATTTTGAAGCTAAAATCAGAGCTAAATGGAGAATAAATGAGATTAGATAATGACCTGAGATGTCACAGCTCTGCTGTAGAATTTCAACGTTATCAACAAATTTATGTGACAATATTAAATCTGATTATGACAATGAGTGGCTCCTGACACGTTGTCTAATGCCAATAGGGTTTAGAATGTCTATAAATGCCAATCCTAATGTAACTTTTATTATCAATGTGGATGTTAAATTCACCAACAATTAAGACTTTATCTGCACCCAGTACCATCTGCACCCGTACAGGTAACAAAAGAAGATGCCATGACTCAGTGTTTGTTAGATGATTCTGATTTAATGCAGTTGTTTAATAGACTTGTAAAAGATGAAATGAAAGAGAGAAAAGAGATGGTATACACAACTGACAAGTTAACAGGCTAATGTAATGCTAACAAACTGCAAGTAATAGATATTAAGATTAGAAAGTTAATGGTATCAGATTTTGTTTTTGATAGACAATACCAGATAATATATATGATAACATTTAAGACATGTTTAGCAATTTAAACAGCAAAGTGGGATAATAAGATACTCAAGATGAAGCTTGACAGAGCTACAATCACAAACCGCTCAGCAGAGGGGCAGGAACTGGAAAAAGTTCATTGTGGGAAGACGCAAAAAATACACTTGGAATAGCCTTCAAAATACAGTGGACAAAGGATGCAAAATGAAGGCTGCCTTCCAAAGATCCTTCAAATTGAGATGGAATTTTATAGAAATTTATGACATTGTTAGGTATGCAGCCTTACTAGCATGAAGTCTTTTGACTGAGAAACACCCAAAGTTGTTCTGATTAATCACCTTTTACCTATGACGAAATATTTCTATGCATAGAGCATGAGGGGTCATGGAATGGATTGATGAGAATGAAAATTATATTAATCACATGGCCTTCGTAGTCACCAGATCTCAACCCAACTTAACACTTATGGGAGTTTTTGGCATCTTAGACAGCACAAACCCGTGACCTCTGCAATACTAGTGTTCTTGCATTTCCTGGGAATTAAACCCATGACCTTGTCATTGGGTGTGTGTTAGTGGTTTGAACACTTGCTGTGCCTGATGGAATTAGACATTGTCCCAAACCACAAGAAAACCTTTGCTTCAGCTGTTCCTGCTCTTCCTCTTAGATAGAGGTTTACTATAAAAATAGCAGTCTTGTATTGTATGACCCTAAGACAACATGGCATAAAAGGTGATCTTAGATCACGTGAGGCACCTCAGCCAATCATATAATGGCATTAACATCAGTATCCGGCACTCTGTTTTACAACAGTTACAGATTTCTTTGCACAGTTTCTTGAGAATTTGTTTGCTCGTTTTGTGAATACATATTGCACAAGAAAAGCGATTTTGGTGCTTCTAAGCAGGAAAAAAGAGTGCGAATTGCTGGTTACTTACTTGTCACTGCAGTGCACATAAAGCTACAAATTAAAATTATGTTTTATTCTGTTCATTTAAAAAAAACAGCTTCATTAGGCACACATAATGCTGATACTAGTCACTAAAAATGTTATTCATTTGTTGAAATCTGGAAGCCATAGAAAGATTTACTTTCAAAAAGCTATTTACTCACAAAAGCTGTTTATTCACTGTAGTGAAGCCTGTCCTCCATTGACATCCATAAAAGAAAAAAAAAAGGCCTCTTGTCTCCTTCCCTGTGAACCGCCAAAACCACAGTGTTATGCTTTTTTGGCTAAAGGTTGTAGGCTTGCCTTCCAGTGGCTATGGGTGCGTCTCAATCAGCTCCCTAGTTCAGTAGTCAGGGCACTGATCAGGGAGTCGGCCATTTTAAGGGTTGTCTCAATCGCGAAATCCTTCCAGTGCACTGGAATGTTCGCTCCCTGAAAAATCCCACAATGCTCAGCAAAAACTAGGTAGCATCGGTGCTCACTATGCTCCCTTACCGGAAATAACGTCAACATTTCTGAAACGCAAAACATAAAACCACACGAGCCAACTCGATAAATATAATGATATGCGATAGAAGACTTGAAAAACATATTATTTCAACATAAACACACATCGCTAGACGGGTACTGATCACATTTAGTTAACATTTATAATTAATATTCGGCTGAAATGTTGTAAGAACATGTAAAAGAACAATGTGTTTAAAGTGAATAAAAAATGTAATCAAAAAGATATTGTTCCTGCCTGTAGTTGATTAATTACAGCGATGACGTTCTATAATGTTGTCCGTTGATGTTGTACATAGTCATGTCACCGGAAATTGAGTAATCACTGTCCCAATGCACAGTGTGCCAGGGAACTTACCAGTGACCGAATTAGTGTACACGATATATTGATTCATGAGCTAGGGAGCTGATTGAGACGCACCCTTTGTTTCTAGTAACCCTGAGGACCTTGATTAGCTGGTTCAGGTGTGTTTAATTAGGGCTAGAGCTAAAATCTGCAGGACACAAAACTGAATTTGACACCCCTGTCCAGAGGGCCACTTTCCTGCAGAGTTTAGCTCAAACACTGACTGGAAGTTTCTAGTGATCCTGAAGACCTTGATTAACTGTTTCAAGTGTGTTTAAATAGGGTTAGGGCTAAACTCAGCTGAAAGGTGGCCATCTAGGAACAAAATTGGACATCCCCTCTCTTCCTTCATACTGTCCCCTTCTTCTCTGCTCCCCTCTTATACCACTCCATCATGCTCTTTTCCTCAAATCTTTCAATGGTTATCACTCTTGTTCTTTTCCCACCCTCTCCTCTTTCTACTTTTACCCTCTATTTAACTTGCTACATTTTGTTCTTTCTCCTACAGTGACTACGTTAACATGGACATCAGTAATCTAATTATTTACCTTATTCTAAATAAGCCAATATTATGATTATGGTGTTTACATGCTTTGCTTTTAGAATATTCCTTTCATGTTCCCGTTTTACATGTTATAGTACATAGTTCGATTAATGGCACACGTCATTACGTCCCCACGTGACACCATCCGACGTCCCCTCCGGAATTTCACGTATAAACATATAGTTTGTCTCCGTAATGATGCCATGTATCATTTTGGGTGTTTCGTTTTTTATTTTATGAAAGCTTCAAGTGCAGTTAATTATTTGTACATGCATACAGTGGTGGCAGGCGGCGTTGAAGCTCTTTTATTTGCCGTCAAACTGTTGACCACTGCCGTGTGTGTATCCTGTCGCAAAATGCAGCGAAAGTCCTATACGACGGTAATAATGTGATTAAGGTGTTTACATGTCTTTACTGCACTTCGGTAATGCGACTAAAATAGGAATACTCCACATGTCTTAATTCGATTTCTGTTTACTTCGAATATGACTTTAGCCGGA